TTCTTTTTCGGGCCACCCTGCCTTGGTGGGAATCGGCCAGTGTGATAATAATAAAAAATAATAATATCTTGTGGGTCTTTACCTGACACTAACAGAGCACTGCCATCTGCATACAGTAGGAGTTTGCACTTAACACTGATAGGCATGTCATTGATATAACATAAGAACAATAAGGGACCTAGAATACTACCTTGGGGAACTCCACATGCTATCGGCAGGGGTTCTGATTCCGTTTTGTTGATTTTGACAATTTGTCTCTTGTTGCTAAGGTAGGACTTAAACCAGTCTACAGAACCAATACCAATAGCTTGAAGTTTCTTACATAATATATTGTGGTTGATAGTATCGAAGGCCTTTTACAGTTCTAAGGTTACTATACCTATGAGATTCCCCATTGACATTTCAGTTCTCAGGTAATCCATCAGATTAATTAGGGAGGTGTCGGTTGAGTAAGATCTTCTAAAGCCCGATTGATAGCTATGGAGAATGTTGTTGTCATTAAGGTACTTAACTACTTGACAGTACACCTCCCTCTCTAGAATTTTGGATATTATACTGAGTATACTAACAGGCCTATAGTTACTTACATCAGACCTACTATTTTTATTGAAGATAGGAGTAACTCTGGCCTCCTTGAAACCCTCTGGTACGTTATTAGTGGTGATTGACAGATTTATTATGTGAGCAATAGGGATTGACAGTTCAGAAGCACCATCTTTTAGGAACTTAGACGGGATGTTATCCGGGCCTGTGCTCTTAGTTGGGTTTAACCTGCTTAGTTCTTTTTTGAATAGTCATGAGATACACTTACTAGTTGACAACTGTTTGGGGTTACACCTTTATTGGTATAGTATGTTTGAAACTTATCAGAGTCTGTGTTAAAGGTATTTGATGCAGCTGGTAGTTTACTACTAGTGTTGATGTGTAGTAGGAATTAAAACAATTTGCCGCCTTAGATGTTTCGTGGCATACCTCATTATCGATAGTGAGTACTATGTTAGACCTGCCCACTGGTTTATGGCTATACCCCAACTGTTTTAGTTGTTGCCAGAGCTTTCTTGGGTTATGCTTATACTCTTCAATTTTTGAGCAATAGTGCTTTGCCTTTGCTCCTTTTATAAGTCTCTGTACTCTGTTCCTCACTCCTTGGAATTCATTTAGTGCTGCAATGTCCTGTCTGTTTGCTTTAAATCTTCGTTTAATCTTAACCTCTTTAACTGGTACAATATTATCAAGGATGGTAGTGAATATTGTTTAGAATGTTTCCCAGGAATCGTTTACGTCCGTGCAACTTGTTGTCTCTGTCCAGTCACAGTTGTGTAGCCTATTTACCAGTGTGTAGGCCTATCCTATCCCTAGTGATTTTCCTGGTGCAGTAGATGATGAAATGATCACTAAGACCTGTGGTAATGATGCCTGATTGACTAATGTTCTCAGAGCAGTTACAAAGTATGTGGTCAATTAGGGTGGCTGAGAACTGTGTGATCCGGGTTGGTGTATTAATTAGTTGAGTGTAACTATTTAAACCTAGAATTTGCTTATACCTTTTGCATAGCCCGTTATTTTGCTGCTGAAAACAGATATTGAAGTCTCCCAGTATTATTGTCTCGCAATTGTTTTCAAGTCCGGACAATACTCTGGAAAAGTCTTCTAAGAACTGTTCCTGGGTAGGAGGGCGGTAACTAGTTCCTACTAAGATGGGTTTAGTTTTGGGAAGCAGCACTTCAAACCATAGAATCTCCAGTTTATTGTTATTTAAATCAGGTCTTGGGTTGTATGCTAAGTTATTTCTAATGTAGGCACGTACCCCACCACCCTTTCTGTTCCTATCTAAGCGTTTTATATTGTAACCTTCTATTTTGACCTCGTTGTCAGTCACCATATCATCCAACCAGGATTCAGAGATGGATATAACTGCCGCCCTAGTTCTGTTAGCTAGAATCCTAATCTCTGCCAATATTGGAAAAAGTGATCTTGCGTTGACATGAATAAAGTGAAAGCCTGTTTTCATAAAACAATTATAATCATCAGTATATGGCAAAGGGTCATTTGTATTAAAATTAGGTAAATCAATGTCATCACTGCTAAAGGGTAACTGTGCCAAAGTGCATTTGTTACACACAAAATGAATTCTGGCACCGTTGTTATAATTGTACATACATCCATCATGCACCCACCCCTTACACATTTTACATAAGGTGCCTTTTCTGTTTTTCATGCGTACTTTAGTACAGTGTATGCACCTGTTTGGTAGTGTTTGAGATAATAATAGCTGTATTGTCTCACATTGACCTATGTATGCATTACATATGGAGTTAAGGTTATCATTCCTAGCTACTAGACCGTCATTATCACCGTCATTTATCTGTCTGTTTTGCCTCTGCACAATAGTTTAAGGTCCTGGATTAATTTGGATATCACCACTTAAGAGCGCTACAATAAGAGCTGTGTGCCACTGTTTTTGTTTGGGTATGCGGTGTTGCCATACCTTGCAGTGAAATTGTGTGAAATTGTCTAAATTGCCAATTTCTGACCACTTTATTGTGTAGTTGAAATCAGTAAATGGGTGGATTCTTAAACTTAATTGATAGAACAAATGGAATTCTAGGGAACTAGCTATGATTTTAGTCAATTGCAACATTGGAAATGGCCGAAAATAGGGCTCAAATTGGGCAAAATCGCCCACTTTGAGAATGCTAAATTCACAAGAGCATAATTTGATAAGTTTTCCATCAAATTTCATACTTTTGGTGTCATTATGATCAGAAAAAGATTCTCTATCATTTCCTAAGAAAAAGTAATTTGTTTATTTTTTGGGGGGAAAAATTTTCAACCCTGAGAACGAGTTTGGGAGAGGGCCTCTCGACCCTCAAAGGGTTAAGTGTAAAGGATTTGAAAAACCCTTGAAGCAAACTTGAGCATGAGTTTAACTATATGATAATGTATAATATTAGAAAATTCAGCATTTTGATTGGATAGTATTAATAGTTAAGATAAGATTTGTTCAGATTTTTAACCCAGAGGGGAAGCCACCCAGGATAACCCAAGACAGTCTTCAGATTATATCTTTGTATTGTATTGATAATATGGACTGTCTTATTTCCATTGTGATCTTTCAGTCTTGTCCTCTAGGATGCCACCCACACCAGGTCAACTAACACCCAGGTTCCTACTTACTGCTGGGTGAACAGTGACAGCAAGTGTAAAGTGACTAACACCCAGGTACCTACTTACTGCTAGGTGAACAGTGATAGTAGGTATAAGGTGACTAACACCCTGGTACCTACTTACTGCTAGGTGGACAGGGACAGCAGGCATGAGGAAACTTGCCCGGCATTTCCACCTGTGTCCGGGATCAAATCACTGACACTCATTGTGTGAGGCGAGAGCATTGCCAACGAAGTCCTTCGTAACCATTGGCAACAAAGTTGGTCCGATATGACTCATATCAAACCAAGTTTAGGTTTCTGGCCTTCTTGTCATCAATGCTGAGGTTTGGTAACAACACTCTACTGTCTTCACAGCAGACACACCCGTCTTACTCATGGGTATCTCATGGACCGGTGTTCTGTTCCACTCTGTGAGAATTGTCTGGTTCCAATTTCAGTTTGTAGTATTCTGCTGGACTGTCCTGTCTTTCATTGAGCACACAGAATTTACCTCCAACGTCATCACTGCTCTAACACCCTTACTTTACCTTCCCACCTTGCTGATGGACCCACGTTTGATGCAGACTCCTTTGACTTTCTGACAGCATCGTTTTATTGTACAAACTCTGATAAGACTTCCTTTTGCACTCCTCACAGCCCTTTTTAACTCTACCTCTGTTATCCTCTCTACCCTTGCTACCCTATGATCCAGCATTACTCCTGCCCTGCAGTGCTATATGACCCTGGTGGGCTTAGTGCTTCTTTTTGATTATATAATAATGGTCAGATTGGCACTGGGGAAAACAATGCAGATTTAAAAAAATAACAAGTCATTTATATATCTTTTCAGTCATTACAGTGTAGCCACTTGGGTCAATTTGAAAAATATCCAGTATGCATAATTAAGCTAAATTTTTCTATAAGGTACTGTTGCTTGATTTAATATGTTATAATTGCCATACAATTTGCATATGGGTAGTTAAGAGGTTTTATTACACATTTATAGAGTATTTAGGTATACTTTAGTTAAAGTCTGTGCTTTAATATTTGAGTAATATTATCTAAGATGAGTGATAACATACTGTGGCGGTATTATATAATGGAGACACATTTACTGATATTAATGTAATATCATTTGATATTCAGTATAATAAATATTAGAGCTTATAATGCAGGATATTCCCCATGGGGAAGTGGAACAGAATTCTTCCTCCGTAAGCCATGCGTGTCGTAAGAGGCGACTAAAATGCCGGGAGCAAGGGGCTGGTAACCCCTTCTCCTGTATATATTACTAAATGTAAAAGGAGAAACTTTCGTTTTTCCTTTTGGGCCGCCCCGCCTCGGTGGGATACGGCCAGTGTGTTGAAAGAAAGAATAATAATAATAATAATGTCACCCAAGCCATGGGATACTGATATGTTGTGAGAGTGTTTATTTGACTGTGTAGTCCTTAAAAGAATGTACCTTGAGGCTGATGGATGACTAAAGAATTAGGGCTACCCTCCCCTTGCTTGGATCAAGCACAGTGGCTCCCCCCCCCCTCCCTTCCCATTGCCCTGGAGCTGTGTGTCTCTTATAGGTTTACCGTTTCCTTATGAATATAAAAATAACAATTGTCTGCATTGGCAGCTATAGAGAACTGCATTGTATTTATGTTGGTAGAATTATCAACAGTATGTTAGGTAAAAGGACATGTGTAACTAATGCAGCATTTTGCTGCAACGTTTTGCTCCCCAGGAGCTTGACGAAGCTCCTGGAGAGTGAAATGTTGCTACAATAAAATGTCACATTAGTTGCAAATGTCGTTTTACCTAACAAGAAATTCACCGATTCATCACATGTCGTTAACAGGTTTCCTGGTGGCACTGTTGATCGCTGGGAGCGTATTGCAGACTTGATGGGTAGAACTGTGTACGAAGTTACTAAAATGTCCAGTAAAGTGAAAGCTCGTTTAATGCAGCGGCCGACAGAAATTGAAACTGAAGAACTTGCACCAGAAGTTAAGGTGAAGCTTTATACACTAAAACATTACATTTGTATTTTTTTATTTAAAGAACTTATTAATAGGCCTAGTTAAGTGGATAAAGTGTGTTTTGCATTATTTCTGGTCATCTGTGGTATTATAAGTACAACAGAAATCTTCCTCCATAAGCCATGCGTGTCGTAAGAGGGGACTAACATGCCTGGAGCAAGGGGCTAGTAACCCCTTTTCCTGCATACATTACTAAAGTTAAAAAGCGAAACTTTTGTTTTTCTTTTTGGGCCACCCTGCCTCGGTGGGATACAGCCAGTTTGTTAGTTTGAAAATTATTAAATTGAATTTTACCATGTTTACATGCGTATGTGTTTCTATGTGTAATAACATTTATCTGGATTTTTTACAGGTAAAAGTCAAAACCAAGGCAGAGAAATTAGACCTGAGTGCTGGGAGTGATGAAATGTGGAATCCTATACAACAGAAGGCCTTGGAGAAAGCCCTCAAACTGAATCCAAAAGGCACAGACCAGCGGTGGGACAAGATTGCTCGGGCTGTACCTGATAAGACCAAGGTAACGCAAGATTGCATTCTCAGTTTGGCATCCAATATTTAGCTATCAGTCTTCCATTTTTCCTTTGTACCTAAGACAAGACACCATGATCCTAGTTTTTCAGTACTGTAATTGCATATGGGTCATTATTAATGCCTATCAAAATCACATTTTTCTGTAATCAGTAATTTTGTTAAACTTAGTAGAAAGTGGGGTGATGTATAAGCAAGAGCACAGATGTGACATGTGAGAAGGCTAGTTTTTTCTTTGTTTTAACCCGTAAACGGTCCAAGCAGATCTACGTTCACATGTGTAGTGCTACAAAAGTAGATCTACGTTTTTTTACATATTTTCAAATTTTTTATTTATTATCACACCGGCCGATTCCCACCAAGGCAGGGTGGCCCGAAAAAGAAAAACTTTCACCATCATTCACTCCATCACTGTCTTGCCAGAAGGGTGCTTTACACTACAGTTTTTAAACTGCAACATTAACACCCCTCCTTCAGAGTGCAGGCACTGTACTTCCCATCTCCAGGACTCAAGTCCGGCCTGCCGGTTTCCCTGAATCCCTTCATAAATGTTACTTTGCTCACACTCCAACAGCACGTCAAGTATTAAAAACCATTTGTCTCCATTCACTCCTATCAAACACGCTCACGCATGCCTGCTGGAAGTCCAAGCCCCTCGCACACAAAACCTCCTTTACCCCCTCCCTCCAACCCTTCCTAGGCCGACCCCTACCCCGCCTTCCTTCCACTACAGACTGATACACTCTTGAAGTCATTCTGTTTCGCTCCATTCTCTCTACATGTCCGAACCACCTCAACAACCCTTCCTCAGCCCTCTGGACAACAGTTTTGGTAATCCCGCACCTCCTCCTAACTTCCAAACTACGAATTCTCTGCATTATATTCACACCACACATTGCCCTCAGACATGACATCTCCACTGCCTCCAGCCTTCTCCTCGCTGCAACATTCATCACCCACGCTTCACACCCATATAAGAGCGTTGGTAAAACTATACTCTCATACATTCCCCTCTTTGCCTCCAAGGACAAAGTTCTTTGTTTCCACAGACTCCTAAGTGCACCACTCACTCTTTTTCCCTCATCAATTCTATGATTCACCTCATCTTTCATAGACCCATCCGCTGACACGCCCACTCCCAAATATCTGAATACGTTCACCTCCTCCATACTCTCTCCCTCCAATCTGATATTCAATCTTTCATCACCTAATCTTTTTGTTATCCTCATAACCTTACTCTTTCCTGTATTCACCTTTAATTTTCTTCTTTTGCACACCCTACCAAATTCATCCACCAATCTCTGCAACTTCTCTTCAGAATCTCCCAAGAGCACAGTGTCATCAGCAAAGAGCAGCTGTGACAACTCCCACTTTGTGTGTGATTCTTTATCTTTTAACTCCACGCCTCTTGCCAAGACCCTCGCATTTACTTCTCTTACAACCCCATCTATAAATATATTAAACAACCACGGTGACATCACACATCCTTGTCTAAGGCCTACTTTTACTGGGAAAAAATTTCCCTCTTTCCTACATACTCTAACTTGAGCCTCACTATCCTCGTAAAAACTCTTCACTGCTTTCAGTAACCTACCTCCTACACCATACACTTGCAACATCTGCCACATTGCCCCCCTATCCACCCTGTCATACGCCTTTTCCAAATCCATAAATGCCACAAAGACCTCTTTAGCCTTATCTAAATACTGTTCACTTATATGTTTCACTGTAAACACCTGGTCCACCACCCCCTACCTTTCCTAAAGCCTCCTTGTTCATCTGCTATCCTATTCTCCGTCGTACTCTTAATTCTTTCAATTATAACTCTACCATACACTTTACCAGGTACACTCAACAGACTTATCCCCCTATAATTTTTGCACTCTCTTTTATCCCCTTTGCCTTTATACAAAGGAACTATGCATGCTCTCTGCCAATCCCTAGGTACCTTACCCTCTTCCATACATTTATTAAATAATTGCACCAACCACTCCAAAACTATATCCCCACCTGCTTTTAACATTTCTATCTTTATCCCATCAATCCCGGCTGCCTTACCCCCTTTCATTTTACCTACTGCCTCACGAACTTCCCCCACACTCACAACTGGCTCTTCCTCACTCCTACAAGATGTTATTCCTCCTTGCCCTATACACGAAATCACAGCTTCCCTATCTTCATCAACATTTAACAATTCCTCAAAATATTCCTTCCATCTTCCCAATACCTCTAACTCTCCATTTAATAACTCTCCTCTCCTATTTTTAACTGACAAATCCATTTGTTCTCTAGGCTTTCTTAACTTGTTAATCTCACTCCAAAACTTTTTCTTATTTTCAACAAAATTTGTTGATAACATCTCACCCACTCTCTCATTTGCTCTCTTTTTACATTGCTTCACCACTCTCTTAACTTCTCTCTTTTTCTCCATATACTCTTCCCTCCTTGCATCACTTCTACTTTGTAAAAACTTCTCATATGCTAACTTTTTCTCCCTTACTACTCTCTTTACATCATCATTCCACCAATCGCTCCTCTTCCCTCCTGCACCCACTTTCCTGTAACCACAAACTTCTGCTGAACACTCTAACACTACATTTTTAAACCTACCCCATACCTCTTCGACCCCATTGCCTATGCTCTCATTAGCCCATCTATCCTCCAATAGCTGTTTATATCTTACCCTAACTGCCTCCTCTTTTAGTTTATAAACCTTCACCTCTCTCTTCCCTGATGCTTCTATTCTCCTTGTATCCCATCTACCTTTTACTCTCAGTGTAGCTACAACTAGAAAGTGATCTGATATATCTGTGGCCCCTCTATAAACATGTACATCCTGAAGTCTACTCAACAGTCTTTTATCTACCAATACATAATCCAACAAACTACTGTCATTTCGCCCTACATCATATCGTGTATACTTATTATCCTCTTTTTCTTAAAATATGTATTACCTATAACTAAACCCCTTTCTATACAAAGTTCAATCAAAGGGCTCCCATTATCATTTACACCTGGCACCCCAAACTTACCTACCACACCCTCTCTAAAAGTTTCTCCTACTTTAGCATTCAAGTCCCCTACCACAATTACTCTCTCACTTGGTTCAAAGGCTCCTATACATTCACTTAAACATCTCCCAAAATCTCTCTCTCTCCTCTGCATTCCTCTCTTCTCCAGGTGCATACACGCTTATTATGACCCACTTCTCGCATCCAACCTTTACTTTAATCCACATAATTCTTGAATTTACACATTCATATTCTCTTTTCTCCTTCCATAACTGATCATTTAACATTACTGCTACCCTTCCTTTGCTCTAACTCTCTCAGATACTCCAGATTTAATCCCATTTATTTCCCCCCACTGAAACTCTCCTACCCCCTTCAGCTTTGTTTCGCTTAGGGCCAGGACATCCAACTTCTTTTCATTCATAACATCAGCAATCATCTGTTTCTTGTCATCCGCACTACATCCACGCACATTTAAGCAACCCAGTTTTATAAAGTTTTTCTTCTTCTCTTTTTTAGTAATTGTATACAGGAGAAGGGGTTACTAGCCCATTGCTCCCGGCATTTTAGTCGCCTCATACGACACGCATGGCTTACGGAGGAAAGATTCTTTTCCACTTCCCCATGGACAATAGAAGAAATAAAAAAGAACAAGAGCTATTTAGAAAAAGGAGAAAAACCTAGATGTATGTATATATATATATGCATGTGCGTGTCTGTGAAGTGTGACCAAAGTGTAAGTAGGAGTAGCAAGATATCCCTGTTATCTTAGCGTGTTTATGAGACAGAAAAAGAAACCAGCAATCCTACCATCATGCAAAACAGTTACAGGTTTTTGTTTCACAGTCATCTGGCAGGACGGTAGTACTTCCCTGGGTGGTTGCTGTCTACCAACCTATTACCTATAGAAAAAAAAAAAGATCTACTTTTTTACATACTTTCAAATGTTGAAAAAAACGTATATATATGTTTGGAAAGTTTACAGGTTAATACAAAGGCTGTCTCCTACTGGGGCAGGGTGACCCGAAAAAGAAAAAACGGTGTCATGAAGTTTTCCTTCTTTTTACATGTGTGTAGTAATTTATACAGGAGAAGGGATTACTAGCATTTTGCTGCTGGCATTTTAGTCACCTCTTACAACACACATGGCTTATGGAGAAAGGATTCTTTTCCACTTCCCCATGGAGAACACTTGTTTTAAATGATTAAATTCATTGTTGTGATGACAAACGTAACATTTACAGAACTCGGTGTTCAAGGTGAGGGGGTTCTCAGACTTTTTCCTCTCATGTACCATTTGATATTTTTGTAGGTAGCTGTATACCACTATACTCACTCCCATATGTGAACTTGCTTAGTTGTCTTACTCTACCATGACAGACTAGGGTTTTTCATACAATACTTAAAGTATGTTATTGATTAAACTTTTTAGTCTTGTTTTAGAAATGTATACACCTACCATCCGACTTACGACCTGCTCGACTTACGACCACTCGACTTATGACCGTGTTTTTCTTTGCCAAGTTTCTGGGAAATATACAACTATTTGTGTTTGTACACAGTGTTTATCCTAAACCTTACAGTATAAAATACAGTACTAACAGCATAAAAAGTAAAGTAAAACATGAAATACCAAAATAAAACAATAAAATAAAGTCATTACAAAAATGTGATGTTGATATTCAGTAGTAAAGTTAGACTTACGTCCATTTCGACTTACGACCGGTTTCTCGGAACCGAACTTTGTCATAAGTCGGATGGTAGGTGTATATAGGCCTGGTAATGGACTGGACTGCAGGGGTGTTGACCCCTGGAATACCCTCCAGGTATACGGTATTATACTTGTTTCTTAACTCATTAGCTATGTATATAAGACACTCACAAGCCTGCTGGATGCTCAAGCCTCTAAACCTCAAAGCCTCTTTTATGCAGAATATCACTTACAAATCCCAAATGTACTACAGTCTGGGAACTCCTA